CCAGTGCTCCTAGTAACTTGACTTTCTCACTGCCCCGAATCAATGCTAATCAATGCACTGCTCTGAATCAGTGCTAACCAATTCGATTGGCTTCACTTCAGAGCAAAGAGTTCGGCTATAAAAATGGTATTGTTTGCGAATTCGATTACGAAACGATAAGTTATATTAATGAATTATATGTATTTTTATTTTTACTTAAATACTGATATATCTTACATGAAATTTTTAATTGTTAATTGTTAATTGTTTAAAAATTTCTGAATTTTTATATAATAATTGTAATTTATTAAGGGTACATTCTCGTCAGTTGGGTCAAATTTTGGTCAAAATTTTTTTTTGCGGAATTCGATAGCTATAACTGTCTAGAATATCATGTTAAAAAGGGCAAATCGAAATTCGTAACGGTTCAAAAGTTATGAGCCTCCGAGCCGACCGCGTCAAAGCAGGTAGCGAGCGTCGCGCGGCACAGGTAGCGCCGACCATTTCACTCAAGGTTTTATATTTTTGGCTTTAGATGGAGCCTCTTTACACTGTAATATTGGGAATTACACTGGTGAAATCAGTTTTATAACGTACGAGAAACACGTGTGCGTTTTTGTATCTCCCGCGTTTTTCGCGTTGCAGTGCACGGTAAGTATCCTTAAAACTTTAAACGCGTTTTCTGGAAAACAACGTTTTTCGAGCTGGCGACCGTGATAACTCAGTCAATTTTCAACGAATCTTAATGTTTTTTTTTTTAAATACGCGTAATTAAACTGTCTATCGCGTGAACCAAAATTATGCCGATACATTGCAAATTGATTTTTTTATAAACAAAAAACTAACGAAAAATTTCATTAAAAACAAAAAAAAATTTTCAAAACGTCGCCATTTTGTTATTTTTGGATAGATTTCATTTTCTGAGGTTCACGACATAACCACACTCATACTAAACAAGAATCTTTATCGATTTTTTGTTTCAAATGATTCTTACGACCTGTAAGACGGTCGCCAGCGAGGTCCTTTTTTTTCGCAGTGGTCCACGGCGCACTATGCCCTACCTCGGGATTTTCATAAAATGACTTAAAATTTTTTTAAAGCAACTTAAAAGTACCATAAATATACCTGAAAAATTTTGAGTGTCTATATTTTTCACTTTCCTCAAAAAAAAATCATGAAAATAGCCTATTTTTAGGTCTTACTAATTAGAATGTACCCTTAAAGTTCTAAATACATGTGATGTAATTTACATGATCTTGCGTACAACGTTGAACAACGGATTGTACTGAGCCACGCGATTGTGTATGATGAGACAATAGGTTGTTGTATTTGCGGGGACATTATCCTTACAGTCAAATTCTATGGGTACGTCCACAG